CGCAGACCTCCCACGTGGTTTATAACATTGTTTTCGTGTTTGCAGTCTGATTTATACATGTGAACGTAAATTATAAATTGGAATAAAAAATGTTTATACTGCACTTACTGTTTAACATTATGCCATGAACATTTGCTTGTTTTTTCTTTATTTAAAAAAATTTGGGGGGCTTTGGAGAAGGTAATTAGGTTTTTATTTATTTATTTTAAGGAGGTACTGGGAATTAAACCCAGGACCTTATGCATGCTAAGCACGCACTGTACCACGGAGCTATAACCTTCCCCCTTGTCGTTAATATTTTTTAAACGTGATTTTTCATGCTTGCGTAGCATTCTCTTATTTTGTTGTAATCTTATTTAGTCATTCTACTTCTGTTTCACATTTTCATTATTATAAATTAGTCTACAGTGATCATTTTTAGACATGACTTTCAGTGCAAAATTCTGATTGTTGTGTAATTATTATCTCAGTGGGTTTGAATGGTCTTAAGATTCTTATTGAGGCTTTTAAAAAGTGATCTGATAATTACATTTTACATTTTCATTTGTTTAGCTTCAAGCTGCAGATCTCACTGTTCATTTAGGGTCTGATACATGATTTAAGGGTGAAGAGCACTTTGGATCCCTGGAGAAGATGCAAGGGCCTGACACCACTCAAGTCATTGGACAGGCGTTGAATGTATTTACATGTGGAAATAACCGTTGTCAAGAACAAGGGAAAAATACGTGACAGCACAGGAACACTATGTAAATAAGAATGGGAACAGTTTGTACGTGACCTCCCAGAACACACAGGCAAGCCCACATGGAAGGGAGTGTTGCGCCTCTTTCTTTTACATTTAGATTAGCTGTGCTCATTGCACAATCTGCCCCTGGCAAGCCTTGCCATCTTCTTGGTTCCCATTCGTGGTGACATTCATTCCTGGTCAGACTCGATGATTGGGTGATTGCCATTTTCTCTCTTTCGGGAAGTACTTCTCACCCACAGTTCTTGGAGGCTTTGACTTGTGTTTGACCTCTTCCATCCGACCCTGTTTACCATGGCTAGTCCTGCCCCCGACCCCTTGCACAGACCTGGGCCCTCATGGGTGCTCCTGTCATCCTGCTGTATTCACATCCTCCGTGGTGTGCCACATTCCCATCCAGCAGTTGAGAGGTTTCATAGAATAACACAGAAACTATGTGCCAACACACAGACCTTCTATCATGAGAATTTCACCCTGTGATTAAAAGAGCACAGTGGTGAGTCATTTGTGATGTGTAATGACCCTCCCATCACATCTTTGTATTATCTATGCCTCCTTTCTCTGGACTGTCTCTTGAAGAGGAAGGGCAGCTGGAAGGGACCTTGGCCCCCGGACTGTGGTCTGTGGCTTGTGAGCACCGAGGGAAGGGCTGCAGGGCCAGAGCTACAGGGAAGAGGGTGATGGTTCCTGGAGCAGCTGGAGCGCAGCCAAGTGTGGCAACCAGGACCCACTCTGGAGCAAGAAGAACACACCGAATCTGGAGCCAGCACTCTGACCCAGGAATGATGTGCTGTGTTCAGAGGCTGAGCAGGAGGAAGCACTGATGCACACGAGACTGCACCAGGCCGGTGGAAGTGGAGTTGGGAAACAAGACATGGAGGGAGGGCCTAAGGTTGCATGAAAAGGGGAGGCTCAGAGGCCGGATGGACAAGCTGAAAGCCTGATTATTCGGACATCCTGCAAGTACTTTTCCTATCTAAAATCAACCTTCTCATAGTCCTTCGAATGATCTTCCTTATTTCCGATTTTTTTGCACAGGCGACTTGGAATTTCAAAGTCTCGTTTGTTTTTTTATCTTTGCATCTACTACTTACTATGTCTCTAACAATTCTCCCTCCACGTGGAAGAGCCCTGAGAGTCAAACCTTGGCTCTGCCACGCGTAGATCTGAGACAGAGTCACTTAACGTCTCAGAGTAACACCTCAGACGACAGTCTGTCAGGTTTGTCCCAAGAACTGGAGATGAGTGGACCCTCACTGCCTCTCAGCCAGACCCTTGGGACACCTTCCAGGTCAGTTTCCTGCCTCCATTCCAGCCTCCAGCTTGGCCCTCCTAATGATGGCCCTGATCACGTCATATCCCGCCTCAGAAACCTTTAAGGTTTCTTCATTAACTACTGAGATACAGCCCCCAGTTCCTATCCTGGCTTCGAGGACTCGCCACCACCTGACCCCAGCCTGCATTTCTGGTCTCATCCCCGAGCACTTCCCTTGGTCTGCTGTGTTCTAACCAAATTGAACTGCTTGCTATTTTTAGCACAGGCCCCTGTCCCAGTGGCCTTTCACAGACGTGAAATTATTCTTTTCCATGCCTCTCAGTTTCCAAAATTTTCTCACGTCTCCAGTCCCTGTCCAAATGCTCCTGTGTCTGCTGCACGCCCCTGTGACTCCAGGCTCAGCCTCAGGCTTCAGTGACATCTTTCTCTGAATTTCCATTATTCTTTCTCTGAACTCTTATCCTGCTTAACTGCTTTGTGCTTTCTGTTGTTTGGGTTCATGATTTATTTATCCTCTTGTTCTAAATCCGGGAGAGTTCTTCCTGAGCACTTAGCAAAGTACCTACTCCGTTTTAGGCAATGAATAAATGTATAATAAGTAAACCAGGTGAGGGGGACACTGACAAGCTGATCAGGAGCTGACGGGCCTGTTGGCACTGGGAGGACAGGACCACAGCTGCACAGCGCTGTCTCGGAAGACCTGCAGCCAGGTAGATGTCCAACACCAGCACGAGCTTATGTAAGGGAACCAACTTGAGTCGCTGTTATATGCCTGTCACCCATCTGGGCATTTTACATAATTTAGTCATTTGAACCCCAATCAGATCACGTACTTCTCTTCCTTGATATTCTCCACTGGCTTCTTGTTACACTTAGAATAAAATCCAGCTCTGAAGTGGCCCTACAGGATCCCCACATCCGGCGCTCATGCGCTAACCAGGCTCACTGCACGGCTTCCTCCCACTTCCATCTTTTCCTCTTTCCCTCCCTACTCCACCCCTTGCTTCATTAAAGCTCCGTCCATGAATCCCAAATTTATGTGGGTTTTTCTTTTTTCTCCAAACCTTGATCACGGTGACAGCAGTGAGTGCCTTGCCTTTGTGTGGTGCTTTGCTTTTCAAGACACATTCTTAGCTTATTTCATCTGATCTTCTTTCAGTGCCTAATCTTTGGGCTGCCTTTTCCAAAGACGAGAATATAGAGGGAATAAAATGCCAAGAAAACTTGGTGATTTATCCGAGAGCATCTTTGCCAAGTCATCTGCCCGTTGTAGGGCCAACTCATGCTTTCCCATGGGCTGTAGATACTTTCTGAAGGGTTTTCTTCCACTGGAGGCTTGCTAATCACACTCTTTAAACCGTGCTATGAAGTTTCTTGGGTCTTTGGAGAGAAGTAAGAAAGTGGCTGTTCCAGTAGTCACGGTAGGAGGTCGTGACAGATAGGACAGGAAGAAGACTTGATCTTCGCTATGTACTTTTCTGTACATAGAAAAAAAGTTACCCACACATTTGTGATGTCCATTTAAATTAGTAATACACATGTGTGCTCTGGGAAATTGCCGTTCTCATTACTGTAACTTTTTTCGAAAAGCAGTAAGGCCATAGTAGACACTTTGGAAAACAGAGGAAGGGACAAAAAGGTTATTCTGAATTCTGCAGCAATCCTTAAACAACCACTTGGGATTGCCACTTCAGAATGGGTTCTGGAGTGAGCGCTGTAAAACGAATCACCTGACTCTCCATTTGAACCTCTCCTGTAAGCAGGTATTTCGAAATACGATTTTTGTAGTAGGAAGTACCTTTAGTTACTGTGGTTAGTAAGGACTTTTCTCTATGTGTGAAGTTTATGCATCTTCCCATTTTGGTAAGAGTGAAACATAGAGCTCTGTCAGAGCTTTCTCAACTTAGGAAAAAGGAGAAATAATAACTGAGTCTCCAGTGGAGCCTCACCTAAACTCTGGAAAAGCTGCCCCCAACCTCAGCCCCATCAAGGCTGGTACATGTGCATAATATGCAGCCTGGGCAGGTAGGAGGGGGAAGGGACACAGAAGCGCACAGAGGAATGGCCAGAAGCCCGCAGCTGGTTGGACGTAAGGGATAAGGGAGATGGTAAGCCCAAAGATAACCAGGCTATCAGTATGAACTGGAGATTTCAAGAAATTAGGTTTTAGAATTGAAATTCCTGAATCCCAATCCTGTTTCTACAGTCTATTTGCCTGATCTTGGGCAGTGTTCTTAACCCCCGAGCCATCAGTTTTCTCGTTTATAAAACAGATAAAATTTAGCACCTACTTCATTAGGTTACTGGACGGCTTAAGAGAGAGTCCACATAAAGCACTCAGCATAGTGCCTGAGTCTTTTCCACTGTTAATTATTAATGGTGATGCAATTTTTTAAGATAGGGAACAAAAAAGGAGGAACAGAGGTGGGAGGTGTTGGGGAGGATGATTTCCGCTCACATGGGCTGAGTTTGAAGCACCTGATGGAAATGTATTCGGCAGTTTCTAGAAGATAGAAATGGGGTCCTGGGTAGAAAGGGGCTCTGCTGTGCTCCTGCAGGAGGGAGGATCCTGGCTCTGCCACTAAGTAGCTTTGCTCTCGTTCTCTGACGCTGTTTCCTAGATGGTCTCAAGGCTTTTATTGTCTGAACCTGCGACAAATGTACGATCACCGAACAGACTGGAGGTTGCTAGTTCACATGTGTGTGGCTATCTGGAGAGAGTTTTTCCAGCCACTGGCGTCCGGACTGCTGCATGCATGTTCCTTGCTCTAGGGTACCGAGCCCAGGGGGAGGGGAGGTGAAAAGCCAGCTGTCCCCTGCCCACCAAGCCATGTGCCCTTGGCTGCATGAATGGGTGGGCGGGGCTTAGTGTTGAAAGTGCATCAGCCCTTGGAGTTAAACTTCACGTGGTCAGTATAATTTTCTATTACAAGAAACATATACTGGGGTTATGGACTTTTTTCCCCTTTCTTTTTGCAGATCATCAATGCCGTGTTCCTGTTGATTCTGTTGAGTGCCCTGGCTGATCCAGATCAGTATCACTTTTCAAGTTCTGAACTAGGAGGTGACTTTGAGTTCATGGACGATGCCAGTAAGTACATCAGATAGCAACGGTAGATATTTTGGTATTTTCAAGGGCAGGGAATCCGGCTGCCAGTTCTTCCTCTTAAATGACAAATATTGATTCATGGGCCCATCTGAGCTGATACTTAACTCTCTCTCCATCATCACAAATCAGAACAGCAGATATTTATGTGTACTTGTATTCTGTCTCTATTCTAAGTGCAAGAGTTTCAATAAGATCTCCTTTATCTTTTTCTCATCTTGTGTTAACTTACCCGCTGTTTAAATTGCTGCCTTATGGTAATCTTCTAGGCTTTTTTGGCCTTTTTGGGAGGAGAGGGAGTCAGTGGCGGAGAGGAAGGTTCAAATGATAATGCGTATTTTACTGGGTCTTCTGCTATGTTTCAGTATTTCCTTTTCCTCCAGGAGGTGATCGTCCTCCATTCTAGAAACTCTGCTGCTGGTTGTTTTGTTGCTTTTTCCAGATAAACAGAAACGTACACAGGGACGTAGGTGTGAGATGTGCAGGAAGAAAGCTATTAGGACCCAGCTCTAAGATCTTGGAACCCTGAACATTTTATAACTACAGTCAGGCTGTGTCCATGTGCACTGAAAGAGGCAGTGCTGTGCACACTGCCAGACAGGAGATCATGCAAATTCATTTTTCATTGGCTTGGCAGAACTTAAAGTGCATTTTAAAAAATGTGTCTGGAGCAAAGTGAGTAAGGGGGAGAGTGGCTGAAGATGCTGTTTTAGAGATAGACCAGGAGCATTCGGAAGACATGGTGAGTTGAGCTGTGTGGATTTTATTTTCAGGGTAAGAAAAAGCCACTCAGTGGTTTTTAGTAATTCTGTGATTATGAACTGGTGCATTGTTTTCAGAAGATCCCTTTTGTTGCTGAATAAAGGTTGCATTTAGGGGACTGAATGTGTGAGTACGGAGGCCTGGAGACTGATTTGGAGCATGTTTTTCCGCCATCCCGGCTGCACTGGGGATGGGGAAGAAGGTGATGGGTTTGGAGGTGGGATTGACGGAACTTGCTGGTATAGGCAGTGAGGGAAAGGGAGGAATCAAGGATGGCCCGTACTTCCCAGCTTGTGTATATGACCTGCACCTTTACTGGAGTGAGAAAGTCTGGGGCCAGGAGAGGGAACACACCTTGGGAAGAAAACTCGACTGATTTAAGTGACTTAGCATAGTTGTTAGGAGCGTGGACTCTGAAGCCAGAGACCTGAATCCTGACCCTGTCGTGTATTAAATGTGTTAACATTGGGCTGATTACTTATCTTCATGTGGCTTAGGTTCCCCCTCTGAATAGAGGAATGATTATAGTATCTACCTTATGGGATTGTTGTGGTGGTTAAATCAGTTAGTATATGAAAAATGCTTGGAATGGGGTCTGGCCCGTAGTAAGTGCTCAGTATATTTCACTGTTTCACTAGCTGTTATTGGATAGGCATGTTTTAGTTGAAGTGTGAGCTATCTTAAAGTGGAGAGATAAAAATGTAGTTGGACGTGTGCGTCTGTAACCCAGACATCTGGGCTGAAGTAGATTTGAGGACATCAACTTAAAAATGGTATTTATGTTCGGGAGATAGTGAAGAGAAAAGGGAAGGATGGGGCGCTGAAGGAGCCCCAGTGTTAGAGGTCAGGAGGAGCCTGCGAACAGCTGGAAGTGAAGTAGATGGAAAACCAAGAGATGCTTTATGTCCTCTGGCTTCCACCACACTGCTTCACAATAGGTCCTGAGAAGTCAGGGGCATTATGTTATCCTGGGGTCCTTGTCACTGAGCCGTGACTTCTGCTGTAACATTGCTCATTCTCTCTACTCTGAATAACCCCATTCCTCTGATGAATTCCTCCAGAAAGGATAATGAGATCCATTAATATTAAATTAATACCTCTCTGCCTTCCTTCCCCTGAGTTAAAAGACTATATAAGCTATAAATATCATGTTTGATTGACATTTAGAAATAAATGCTCTTTCACTGCTTCCAGTAGCAGGATTCCTTTTCTAAGTAATAGAGGTTAGAAGAGAAGTTTTAAATGATACAGCTGCAGTTGTGTCTGCATCGGATAGTAACTCTGCCTGGCTTGTTCTGATTGCCAGAGATTAAGCTGGGTGGTGACTGCCTGACAGCACAGGCTTAATTTAGCTCACTTCAAAGGCTTGCTGGTACTTAAGACTCTAAAATAGTTATTGTTTTGTGGTGTCCTGGATATTAATTCCAGTGCATTTGTGGTTTCTCAGGTATTTCATATATTTGAAAGAAATGAATGAATAGTTTAAATCACGTGATTAAAAAGGTACAGAAGAATGAATATTCATTCACTTGAGTGAATTTTTTTTAACTTTTCCTCTTACATTTCCTTTTCGTATATTTTGATCTCTTTTTAGAAAAAAGTTTAGAAGCCAGGGGTCATCATGCCTGACAAATCTTTCTATATTTAATACACATGAGGGTTGAATTAAATAGTCCTTGAAATGAGTACAATCAGTTGCTTTAAATTGTGCTCGAAAAGTATGGTATATAGCAATTTTGACTTGTCTTTTTGGAATGGTGGTAGCCATCTTAAGATTTTATCCAGAAGGACAAAGCAGGGATGCATCTCGCTTTTCCATATGATCTTTTCCTAAAATGATCTGGTAGAAGAAAGCCAGGTTGCTATTATTTATATCTAAATGGGACATACAGGAGACTCCACTGGGATAAAGAAAAAAATATAAAGATTTCTGTTTTCAAAAACACCTAACTCTTGCACATTTGTATTTTTACACATTTTTATATACAAATTAGTAATGATATGTATGTATAATTTATAAATAAACATCTGATCAAAAAATGGACTACACTAGGAAAGATGGGGAAACTGTTAGAGATTGGAGGAAACAAAGGATTCAAAACTACAGGTAGTATGAGACACTGGATAGGATTCTGGAACAGAAAAAGGATGTTAGGAGGCAAACACAAACAGGTGAAGTTCAGGTAAGTAGACTTCATGAAATTTTGTTTGTGAAGTTTTGATGCACTGGCAAAGAACCAACAGGAAGTGTCAGAGCAAAGCATAATGCCAAACAGTGGATCATCCAAATTAATTTCTGATTAATTTTGCAGCAGAATTGTCTTTCAAGCCAAACTTATTTTATTCACTGGGTGGATACACCTGGCCCCAGGAAGGGAATGGTCCAAAGAAAAACAATCATGAATTTATGTTTGTTACATGTAGGCACCTGACTTAGGATACAGACATTTATTGGAGAAAGGATGATCTTTACAGTAGATGGTTCTGGGTGAAATCAAGAAGAGAAAAAGAGATACTTTGAAAAAGAAGATATCCATATGATCAATAAGCATATGAAAATATTCTCCACATTATTAGTTGTAAAGGAAATGCAGATTACAAGCACAGTACTGAATCCCTACACCGCCCCAAATGGCACCATGAACAGAATGGACAGTGCCGCCTGTTGATGGCAGTGAAACCACCGGAATTCTCCAGCTGCAACCGGGAGTGTAAATCCCACAACCACTTTGGGAAAACTAAAGCTGAATATACATCCACCATATGACTCAGCAGTGTCTCTCCTAGTTATGCACCCTACCGAAGTGAATGCGTGTTGTCTATCATAAGCCATGCATAAAAATGGGCACAGTCTCTTTATCCATAATAGCCAAAGCCTGGAACAATCCACATTCCCACCAGTGGTAGCATGGACACAAATGGAGTGATCAGAGAAAGGGTACAAGCAGAGTGGGTGCTGGGACTCATTATAGTTCTCTGGGTATACTTACATATGTCTGTGTGTTTGAAAGTTTTGATAATAAAAGCTAAGAAATAGAAGGGGTAGAAATGATCAGCTGGTGCTTTCCATATGGCTCTTGACACCACATTGGAAAAGGCCCAGGCTGCCTACTGCTCTCTCTTCACAAATCCCCAACCCAGCTAGGTAGTCAGGCTGCAGAGCTCGCCTACTTGTGCATAACCATCCCAGCATCTTAAGGAAATAGACACACACACACAACTGCAGGGGAAGCGGAGCCATAGGGACCATCCTGGCCCTTTATTTTCATCCATCTACCCTCCCATCCTTCCATCTCTTTATCTTTTAAATCACATGGCTCAAGGTGGGAGGGTATAGCTCAGTGGTAGAGTGCATACTTAGCATGCACAAGGTGCTGGGTTCAATCCCCAGTACCTCCATTAAACCTAATTACCTTACCCCCACCCCCCAAAATTTTTTTTAATTAAAAAATTTCAAATAAAAAATAAATAAATCACATGGGTTAAGAAGGTTGCGTATTCTCTACCTTGAGTGTATCTTTTTTTTTTTAAAGGATAATGCAATGAATATTTTTAAGATCTTTTTACAAAGATGTAGGTATAAGAAGACCCCTAGGCTTTGTATTTTGCTCTCAGTAGCTCATACTGTTGCTGTGAATTCATCTGAAAATAGTTCTCCTCTAGACTTAATGGTGAGAATATACCCCAAATACTGTTGTCATGAATGGCAGTGCCAAAAATGTGACCAAAAATGAGAGAAGATTGAGCTATCAGCATGGCTTATGACTAGGCAAGTAAGATGTGGGAAGATAAGTCAAGTAGTTAGCTAGCTGGCTACTGCCACTTTCATGGGAAGGAAACAAATCCAAGAAATGTAAAGGGGCCATGGAATTAGAAGTAGATGATTTAAAACAAAGGCATTTCAGGGAACTCCTTTATATGCTTATTCTATGTCAATGATTAACTAAGTATCAGGAAAAGATTTCTAATTATGCCTTTTGTGGCCTGTGGAATAACTTTTATTAAGGTCCTTTTCAAATTAGAACTGCGTTGGTAAGTCAGGAAGTTAATTTAGGGACGAGCATGACGTCAGTGTGCTCTGCCTGTGGGTTGGCAGGGCTGCTATGGGAAGGGTGTTCCTGTCACCGACCAGTACTTTCCTAATTGTGAAAATCCCTATGTTGTTATAGAACCAGTTCCTTGTTTGCGTGTGACATAATTAAAAGGAATGGATTTTAATTCCTCAGAGTAACTCTCGTGTTTACCGTGGTATGCTACACATTGTTTCAGAGGAGTTGGACTCTAGATTGCTAGGAGGTACAAGGTTTACTAGCCTGTTTTATCTGCTCTCTGTTTTTATTGGATTTACACTTTGGTTCTACCTAAGATATTTCACATGCTTGTGATATATTCCTCATCTCAAACCAACATTTCTCTATGGTATCTCATGGTGAATGGTGATAGGTTAGTTTATGACTTACATTTCATTTGTGCCTTTTAAAGTTCTCCTTTTTCTTTGAAAAAGATGGAAATTAAATCTTACATAATCATCACAGAATTTTTAGTTCTGGAGTGGCTTTCTTTTTTCCGCACTAGGACATATAATATTCAGTAAGATTTTGTGGTTTTTTTCTTCTATCTTAATATTTTATGTTAATAAAAGTTCTAATTATATATAACAGTCATTAATGAGATATTATACGTCTTTAAAAAAATACTAAGCCCTAGAAATCTGGAGTACATTTCAGTCTTAGGGCGCATCTCAATTCAGACTGACCACATTTCAAGTGCCCTGGACCCACATGTGGCATCTGTCACCTTCTCGGTGTTGGGGTTGCAGTAGTGAACGAGACATAGAAACTCCCTGTCCTCAGGGGCGTTTCTCTAGGAGAGGGAGACAGACAGGACACAAGTAACAAATGTAAGTAAGGTAACAGTGATCCGTGCTGTAAAGAAAATACAGCAGCCACATGGGCACGGCAGGAGGGGAGGCCCACGTTAGCTACAAGAGTCAGGGGAGATCTCTGGGAGGTGCTGACATTTGAGCTGAGACCTGAAAGGTGGAGCTAGTCATGTGGGAAAATGAGTGACGCTACGCCTGTTCAGTGGGACGTGCAAACACAAGGCCCTGAGATGGGGTGATGATACTTCTGTGTTTAGTGATCTAAACAGCATGGCTGGATTCCAGTGAGCAAGGAAGCATGGGATGAGGTGCAGTGAGATTGGTGGGGGATCTGTGTGTGCTCTAGAGTAAGCAGAGACATAAAGGCCCTGATGAGAAATTGAGATTTGATTTTAAACAAGATGGGAACCTTATGGAGAGTTTTAGTAGGGGCATGAGACACACATGAGTTTATAAAATACATGTTAGATACCTGTATGTTAAAAGAATACCTCATTTGTTATATATATAAAATTCAGTGGACCAGAAGACCAAACTTTTAAATATATAAACAGAGAGAGAGAGATAGAGATCGACCTGTCTATCGGTATATATTTATGGATGTATTTAATATCTATAACCAGTATCCCACTCCCTTTTTGAAATAAGCTTGTGTGTAAATCAATCTCTTCTCTATAGACATATGTATGATTTAGGGAGATCATCTTTTGGGCACTTTGCTTCCATTAGCAACTGACTTCATAAATTCGAAAAGAACTCTGGTGGTTTACTTAGTATCAAGTTCTTGCTTATAATTGGTTTATTAAAAAAAAAAGCCTTTGAGGAGAGACCAAAAAAGTGTTGCAACAGAGGAGCTGCTCCTGATGGTCCGTCTGTCTTTCTCTTTGACAGACATGTTCATCGCCATCGCGATTTCTCTCCTCATGATCCTGATATGTGCCATGGCCACTTACGGAGCCTACAAGGTGAGCAGCTTTGAAATGAGGTCTGGGCCTTTCCCTCGGTCCCTCACATGTGCA